GCGCTCTTACGCGGAGGCGATAGAGGGTCCCTACTCCTCTCAGTGGCAGGCAGCTATGGATGCAAAGATGGCTTCCTGGAAGTCCACAGGCACCTACGTTGACGCTGTCCCCCCTCCTGGGGCGAACATCGTCAGTGGCATGTGGATCCTCAGGGTGAAGCGGCCGCCGGGTTCTCCGCCTGTCTTCAAGGCGCGTTACGTGGCTCGTGGCTTCAGTCAGCGGCAGGGGGTTGACTACTTTCAGACCTTCTCCCCCACCCCGAAGATGACCACTCTTCGGGTACTGCTGCACGTTGCTGCTCACCGTGACTACGAGCTACACTCTCTCGACTTCAGCACTGCTTTCTTGCAGGGCAGCCTGCACGAGGAGATCTGGCTGCGCCGCCCACCTGGCTTCACTGGGCCTTTCCCTCCTGGTACCCAGTGCAGTCTCCGGCGTCCAGTCTACGGTCTCCGCCAGGCGCCACCTGAGTGGCACGACACACTGAGGACTACACTTGCGGCTCTTGGGTTTGCTCCTTCTACTGCCGACCCGTCGTTGTTTCTGCGCACCGACACCTCTCTGCCGCCGTTCTACATCCTCGTGTACGTCGACGACTTGGTCTTTGCCACAGCTGACACTGCTGGACTCGCCTACGTGAAGTCCGAGCTGAAGAAGAGACACATGTGCACTGACCTGGGTGAACTGCGCAGCTACCTTGGCTTGCAGATCACCCGGGACAGAGCACGCCGCACCATTACTCTGACTCGGTCACACATGGTGCAGCAGGTCCTTCAGCACTTCGGCTTCACGTACTCCTCGCCTCAGGCCACTCCTCTGCCTACTCGCCACTCACTCTCAGCTCTGCCTTCGGATGAGTCCGTAGAGTCGAGTGGCCCGTATCCATAGCTTGTTGGTTGCCTCATGTACCTGATGACCTGCACACGACCTGACCTTGCATACCCTCTTAGCATTCTTGCACGCTATGTTGCTCCTGGGAGACACCGACCTGAGCACATGGCTGCAGCGAAGAGGGTGTTGCGCTACTTGTGCAGTACGTCGGGCATGGGGCTAGTGCTTGGAGGGCAGAGTCTAGTGGTCCTCACTGGGCTGACGATCAGGCTACGCAGCGGTCGTCACAGGGTTACACCTTCAGCCTTGGTTCCGGCTCTGTTTCGTGGCAGGCTACTCGCTCGTCTTCTGTTCTCGGCTCCAGTTGTGAGGCTGAGATCTACGCAGGGGCCATGGCTGCTCAGGAGCTTCGCTGGCTCACCTACCTTCTGACCGACCTTGGAGAGCCGCCTCGTTCTCCTCCAGTCCTTGTGTCGAGAGTAGCGACTGGAGCACAGAACAAAGCAGATTGCTCTTCGCTACTTCCTTGCTCATGAGCTACAGCAGCGTGGTCAGTTGGGACTTGCGTACGTGGCCTCTGAGGCCAACACTGCTGATGTTTTCACCAAGGCACTTGCGCCTTGTGATCATCAGCGCTTCTGTACTCAGCTTGGTCTTGTGCCTGTCTTGCCTCACTTGCTCACTTCTTGACCTTGCTTGTACTGTCATATATATATACTCTTGCTCTTGCTTACTTAGGCTCTTATATATATATGTGCTCCTGCATGTGAACTGGCCTTCTGGCCTTGAACTTGTGCTCGGAATGTGTGGTGACTTTGTGATCCACCCTGAGCTTGTTTTGCTTTGCTTTACTTGACTCGTCTTGTGACCCCTAGTTCTCCCCCACTTCGCCTATGGGGGTGTGTCAAACATTATATATGTTGTTGTAGTTACTTAGGCTACAGTGGGTTAGCCTATAGGGGGTACACATTTCTAGGGTTTCCTTTTTGTACTCATTTCACTGTTAGTTCATTCATTCTCGTTTCTTCTCACATGACTCGGTCGACCACGTTCCAGTAGTGCAGGGTCGCGGCTTGCCAACACTGCTGGTCGACGGCGTGCCAACACTGCAAGTCGACGGCGGCCAGCGTTGCTCCCGCAGTACAGCATCGCACCAGCTTCGCAGGTGCTAGCAGATGTTTGGCGTGCTATGCCTCGTCACTTGCACAGCGCACACACTGAATCGTCCTTGTGCTGACGACTGCTTCTGATCAGCCATGTCGACCTCGGGATACAACCACCGAGGTTGTTCTCGCCAAAACCACCAGGGCGATCGTCGCACCCATCCGCGGTACTTCGTCATCCAGGTAACCTGGTCGACCGGGCAACCACGTCGACCAGCTGCTCCTGTATGTGCCCGTCGACCTCCCAAGTTGACGGCCACCTCAAGTTGATCTCCATAGGTCGACCACACCCTTGGTCGACCAGCTCCAGGTCGACGTCACTCCTGGTCGACCAGCTCCACATCGACCAGCACAGTTGTCAGCCGACCACCCAAGTCGGCTTCCCCAAGTCGGTATCACCAAGTCGACGCCCTGGAAAGGTCGACCTCCCAAGTCAACCTCCCCGAAGTCGGCACCCATAAGTCGGCGCCAATGCAGTGGCCCCGGTGCAGGTCGACCACCCTAGTCGACCAGCTCGCCCACTGCTGCAGGTCGGCTGCACCCCTACATCCGACCACAAGGTTGGCTCTGCCCAAGCGAGGACGAGGCCAACCATAAATCCTGTTGACAAATCTTGCGCGCGTGACTCACGAAGTATGGTTCTGCAGCTGGCGACAAGGGACGTGCGTAACTTTGGGCGATAATTTCGGAGAAACTGTGGAAAAAAGGACGGCTGGGGAACTTGCCAGGCACGAATGGAGTTTTGCGTACGAAAATATTGGTGGCAAGGAGCGACGACATGAAGACTGCCCGATTTACGCGGGGTCAACTGCCGTCCCGCACGACCTGAAGTGCAGCGGCTTTTTCTACATGGCGGGCATGCCATCGAATATTTCCGCAGGAGTGCACGTGGACAGACGGGACTTTCAGACCCGCCGACACTTACGGGCTACAACGAAAAGCGGAGTGGCCATATCGCACTTAGTAGGAGTGGGATGTGGGCGACGAGGGAAATCGAGGCAAGTACACCTCGGAAACAACTCGGGCGATGCTGCGTGCCTGGTGTTGTTGCAAACTGGTCGGCAATATCGAGAACCATTTCTCCTGACCAGGGATTTCGTTTTCGGGGACAACTACTGACAACCCACGATTAAACATCGTCCAAGGTACCGCTTGACAATTTTGGAGGGGTCGGTATAGGCTGCCGGGACACACGGGAAGAAACGGCCCAACGGCTAAGAGGGGGTTGAAGAACATCGTGGGGAGCAGATTAAAAGCCGGTGAAATCACTCTGCAGCCCTACTTCGCCCGAACCTCACCATCCCCACCAAGTCCCGGTTCGGACTCATGTAGTCAACCTACTTGGACGAATAACAAGGGTGAATACACACCTACCCTGCGCTGGTTAAAAGCACCTGGATTGGTGCCCATTTGATAGCTGAATAGAATAGAGAATAACAAAGTGGAGCTCGGGGCACTGATTTACTCCGACAAAAGCGGGTTGTGTGAATGCCAGGCGAAAAAAATGGGGAGCTGCGAGGACAACATTGGGCCGTTTACAGGTTTCTCCTGACCCGGGTGTCTACACGGCTTGACGGCGTAGCCACGAAGCTGAGATAGGGAAGCTGTGGATTTTTTGTGGCGTGAAAGGCACGACGGGCTGGAAAACGGTTGGGCAATAATTTCTTTTAACTAAGGCTATCCCGACTCGGATAGTTTTTGCCCCTCCACCATGGCCGGGTTCGAGCAGCACCAGAGTCGACAGCAACCTCGACAGGCTCGACTACGTCTACCTGGGACGCACCTGAGGGGGCAGGACCCTGAGGGGGGAGGGGGTCTACCGGGGGAGAACCTGGCGCTAGGAAGAGTGGCTGGGGGGGGAGGGTCTCAGAATCCCAATGTCAGAATGTTCTCATCTAGCCTGTAGTGGGGTGCTCTATAGCGAGTACAACCCTGTTAGGGTTTGCTATTTGTATCCCCATTCTCGCTAGTCAAACCCCTCTTTTCTTTCTTCTAATTTTGACATGCTATCAGAGCAGGTCGATCCCCTTGGATCGATCCTGTGGGTGGGTTACCACCACCTCGTTGCTTCCGCTGCAACTTCTACTGCTACTCTCTGTGCCGCACGCCCCGTGGCGTGCGGCAGTTTTTTTCGGCCCGCCGTGCGCCCCGAGGCGCGCGGCGGTTTTCTGCCCGCCGTGCGCCCCGAGGCGCGCGGCGGTTCTCTGCCCGCTGTGCGCCCCGAGGCGCGCGGCGGGCTTCTGCCTTGTCGCTCGGCGCGTCGCCCTCGGGAGGCACTGCGACGGGCGACGGGGACCCGCGCGCCGGCCCGTCGACGCCCGTGCGCCGCTGCCCCGGCTCGTCGACGCCCGTGCGCCGCTGCCCCGGCCCGTCGCCGCCCGTGCGCCGCCCGTCCCGGCCCCGCGCAGCTGCTCCGGCCCGTCGCCGCCCGTGTGCCGCTGTCCCGGCCCCACACCGATCGTGCGCCGCTAGTCCCGGCCCCGGCCCCGCCTGCGCCCCCCCCCCCCCCCCCCCCCCCCCCCCCCCCCCTTTTCCCGTCGCCTGTCGAGGCGACCCTCGGGGGCCGCTTGGGGAGGGGGGCGAGCGCCGCCCCCCCCCTTCTGCTGCCTGTCTTGGCGCCCTGGGCGGCCCGCGCGTCGGTTCCCCCCCCCCCCCCCCCCCCCCCCCCCCCCCCCTCCCCCTCCCCCGTAACCTCCCTACCCGCCATCCCGCCCTGCCTGAGTTAGGGTTTGGGGAGTGGCGAGTAGGGGGTGGCGAGTATGGGGGTGGCGGGTGTGTGGTCTCCCCTGCTCCTCCTCCTCCTTTGTCTCCCACTGCTGCAGCTGCCGCTGAGGGGGGTGGGTGTGTGGGAGTCGCTGGAGTCGTGTTAGGGGGTGGGGTGTGAGTGACCCTAGGGGTGCAGTAAGGGGTGTGTGCAAGGGGGGGTGAGACTGTTTGGGGAGCTGAATGAAGGATGCTGCTGTGTCGCTAGCAGCACCTGTAGTCCGGGGGCTTCGTCCGGTAGCTCAGTCGTAGCCAGCTGTGCCAGCCGCCCGTGGGTCCGTTGCTCGTCTGCCGCGAGTCTGGTGAGACAGGAGGCGACACGAGGAGGGGGCAGATTCAGGACCAGACCGGGACGCTGCAGCAAACACCTGACCAGACGCGACTACGTGACCAGACCCAATACCTGGAGAAGACACGGTAGACAGGGTGTACAGGCTCGACCCAAGCTGACGGGCAAACGTGGCCATGCGCCGGCCCGTACGAGTACACGTACAGTTGGTCACCCGCTGACCTCTAGGAGTGAACTGCTCAACCCACACGTCCTGAAGGTCAGCTTCACTGACCAAGTTTGTGGTGAACGAGGGGAGGTGGAGGCCAGACAGAGAGCCAAACGGGACCGTCGGACATGGCAGAACAGTGGAGGAGTGTGCAAGGACCGGACCCCCAGAGGGGTCAGCTAGGGAGACTGCCACTGGCCGACTGAGTGGCGTGAGTGTGGTGCACTCACGAAAGAAGGAGCGGGAAGCACCTGAGTCAAGGGTGAAAGTGTGCAAGGCCTGAGCCGACGCGGTACCTGAGAGAGCAGCCTCACCAGCACCTGGAGCAGCAGGCTCACTAGTACCTAGAGCAGCAGCCTCAATGCCCGGGTCGAGCGGAACACACAGGGAACAGTCACCCTCAGCACTAATAGTCATAGCATACATAGCACCAAGGATAGCATCATAATCAAGATCAAAGATAGCAACCCCCGACCTAAGCAGATCACCCCAGCAAAGGAGCTCAGTGGCGTCAGGAAACTGTGCACGCCGGGCATTAGTCAGGCGACCGAAACAGTGGTGCGTGGCGTGCAGGCTGCCACAAGTCTCTCCACTGTGCTCGCCGGTGCGGAGAACGTAAGCGCAGGGACCAGCACCCCCTGACCTCCCACGCCTAGCGTACCACTCACGAAGCTGCTGGGGCGACAGGGCCTCACGAGAACGCTGCTGCTGCTGGCGCTGGCCACCGCCAAAGCCTCCCCACTGCACTGCGCCACCCCAACCAGCACCACCGCCGCCGCCACCCCCACTGCCGCTGCCGCCGCCGCCTCCACCTCCACCACCGCCACCTAAGCCCCCACTCTCGCCGCCACCCCCACCTCCACCCCCACCCCCTCCACCTCCTCCACTGCCACCACCACCGCCAACACCGCCACCCCCGCCACCCCCGCCGTCCCCTCCACCACCCTCCCCCCCCTTGCCCTTGCCACTGCGGTGTCTCCCACTAGGAGTAGACGAAGCGCCGCCCGACTCAGTGCCAACGAGGTCGACTGTAGCAGCAGAGGCAAGAGAGGGCAAGAGGGGGACAGGGGAGAACCCCTCAAAGAAAGGGGCACGAGGGTCACCACGAGAGGCTCCTACAGCTACTACACTCTTCTCAGCTGCAAGGAGGCGCTCCTCGAGGAGGTCAACAGTGAGTGTGGTGGGGCAAAGGGAGAGGAAGTGGTCCCTGACTGGACGAAGGGAGTCAGGGAGCCGGGTGACGTGGTAGTAGAGGGTGATGTACATAGGGGGGGGGGGGTTCTTGGCGCAGAACTTGGTAGGAAGCGCAGCGCGGTAGCGAGTGTCACTGGTGCGGAGGTGGGTAATGAGGTCAGCGACTGTGGCAAAAGCGGCGAGGTCAGGGAAAAAGTACGGCAGCATGAGGCGGCTGAGTGCAGTAGTGGCAGGGGAGGAGTAGCGCGCAACAACAGCGTCATACAGAGTCTTAGCAGTCTTGTGCTGGCTAAAGTGTGCGCGCTCAGCAGACGGTAGGTGACTACGAAGAGCAAGACGAGCAGCAGCATCACGCGTGGTCCACTGCGAGCGAACTGCACTGTCAGCATCGGTAGCAGGTGCGACAAAGACGCCGGACGTGTGATCGAACAGTGAGACTCTATCCCTAGAGTCGCACTGCAGAAAAAGCTGCAGATCATCGACCCAGACCTCAAAATCGACTGCTCGACACTCAGTATCGAAGGTAAGTACATTAGGGCTAGCCATGGCGGCCGTAGCAGTAGCAGTAGCAGCAGCAGCTCAGTAGGGTAGGGTAGCGCGGCTCGGCAGAGCAGCGTGGCTCGGCTCGGCTGGGTGGCTCGATTAGCTGGGCGGCGCGGCTCGGCTGCGCGGCTCGTCTCAGCTGGGCAGCGCAGCTCGGCTGCGGGCTTGTCGGGCAGGAGCGCGGGCAGCGCAGCTAGGGGAGGTGCTCACCAGAGGCGGTTAGGGCAGGCGCCTGACGGGCGGGCAGGGCAGGGCCGCGACGGCGGCTGGAGGTAGGGCCGCAAATGCGGCTGGAGGCAGGGCGGCGACTGCGGCTGTAGGCAAGGCCGCGACTGCGGCTGTAGGGAGGGCCGCAGCTGCGGCTGGAGGCAGGGCCGCAACTGCGGCAAGTAGGGCCGCGACTACGACAAGACAAGGTCGCGACGGCGGCAGGCAAGGTCGCGACTGCGGTAGGGTGGGGCTGTGAGGGCGGCAGGCAGGGCCGCGACGGCGGTCGCAGGCAGGGCCGCGACGCGGGACGGCAGGGCCGCGACAGCGGGAGGCAGTGCCGCGATAGCGGCTGTAGGGCAGGGCCGCGACAGCGGCAGGGTAGGGCCGCGATAGCGGCAGGGCAGGGCCGCGACGGCTTCAGGCAGGGCCGCGACGGCAGAGCCACGACGGCAAGGGAGGCGCACGGGGCGCAGGTGAGGCAGGCGCGAGGCGCGCTACAGGGCGGGCAGGCACGGGAGCGCGCTTCGGGCAGGGCAGGATTTTTTTTTTTTTTTTTTTTTTTTTTTCAGTGGTGGGCCCTAAAAAAACGGTCCCACTAGGGAACCTGCTCTATACCATGTGAGAAAAGTACGAGTTAATGAAATGCACAAGGAAACAGGTGGGTACAATTAGTGCACTTAAAAATGTTGTACCCCATATTATCTACCCCACTACAGCCTACACAGACTATAGCATATAAGTTTGACAGCTCGATGTCCGTGGGTTTCAATTTCAGTCAACACAAGAGGAAATTTCTAGGCTGGTGAACCAGGGGGGCATAAATCACGCACGGGGAACAGAAACAAAGCGAGTTCAAATTTTTTTGTGTTACACGCCTTTGTACCTCTCTAAACGAATTTCACCCTCAAGTCCCACCAAAAGCGACTATATCAGAACCGTCCATCGGAACTGTCGATGGCGGATTCCGAAGGGAAACAAGCACGAGAGAATTGCTTCAGAACCTTGTTTGGTGATTTGGTCTTGCACACGTGGCCTTGAATTGCTCGCGTGTCCATCCAATTCACTGATAATTGCTCGAGTGGCTACGCGAGGGGATTTCAGCGGTGCTTTTTTCCCCCGCACATTGTCCTACAAGGAATTTAGCCCCGAAATTCCTATCACGTAGTCGTCTCATCCCGTGCAAGCGTTGTGTACTGTACCCCACCTGAAAATTTCGCCAAGGTGGGCAGGCGCGGACGTGGCCCACTCACTGTACAGGAAACGGACAAATAATCACGACCAACAGTAATGCGCGCTCAATTTCGGCCCAATGCGCGACCAATGAGCGCTCGACCAAACAAATTCGTAACCAATAAACGCTTGACCATATAAATCCGCGATCATAAACTTCAACCGACGAGCATCAAACCACAACAGCCCTTGCGACCACGCATGATTCGTCAATAATATGTGTGGTGCAATTATTGGCATTGCGCGTCCAATCAGGCGCCATCTGTAAAACTTATATGCTATAGTCTGTGTAGGCTGTAGTGGGGTAGACAATATGGGGTACAACACTTTTAGGTTTTCCTACTTGTACCCACCTGTTTGCCAGTACATTCATTCCTCGTTCTTTCACATGGTATAGAGCAGGTTCCCTAGTGGGAACGTTTCCTAGGGCCCACCGAAAATCAACTTTTTTTTCCTGCCCGGAGCGCGCTTTGCCCCTACCCGAGTCGCGCCCCGTGTGCGTGCCCTCCCGTCGCGTCCCCTGCCCTTAGCGGCCCGACGTGCTCCCTTACGGCCCCGTAGCGGCCCCTCTCTCGGCCCCTCACGGCCCCTTTCACGGCCCTTCGCGACCCCTTCAGGCCCCTCGCGGCCCCTTCGTGGCCCCTCGCGGCCCCTTTGCGGCCCAGTCGCCGCCCTCCGCGGCCCCGTCGCCGCCCTTCGCGGCCCCGTCGCCGCCCTTCGCGGCCCCTCGCGGCCCCTTCTCGGCCCCGTCGCCGCCCTTCGCGACCCCATCGCCGCCCTTCGCGGCCCCGTCGCCACCATTCTCGGCCCCGTAGCCGCCCTTCGCGGCCCTTCTCGGCCCCGTCGCCACACTTCGCGGCCTCTCACGGCCCCTTCGCGGCCCCGTCGCCGTCCTTCGCACCCCCTTCACGGCCCTTCGTGGCCCCTTCACCGCCCTTGGCGACCCCTTCTCGGCTCCTCTGCGGCCCCTTCTCGGCTCCCTCACGGACCTGCCGCCCCGCCGTCGCCGCCCCTGCAGCAACAGCCAACGCCGCTCCAGCAGCGGGAGCCGCCACCGCCGGTGCCGCCGACAGCAGGCAGCCGCCGCTGCCACAGCCAGGGCCGCATCCGCCGCAGTAGCCTACAGCAGCAGCAGCCGCCGACGGCAGCAGCCGCAGCCGCCACAGCCGGGGCCGCAGCCGCCGCCTGCAGCTGCCGTCGCCGTCGACAGCAGGGGCCGCCGCCGTTGTCCTGGCCCGGCCTTCCAAAGCGGAGCGGCACTCCTCTGCCGCCTTGTACCGGCCCCGTCCCTGCCGACGCGCCTCGGCCCTGCCCTACCACTTGCGGCACTCTACCCACTTGCCCTGGTAAGAGCACCACCAAGCCGCGCCCCTCCTGTTGCTACTGCTGCTGCTGCCCCTAGCCTGCTGCCACTACTGTCATGGCTACCCCTAGCATTCTCGCCTTTGATGCTGAGGGTCGGGATGTTGACTTTAAGGTCTGGGTCGATGATCTACAGCTTTTCCTACAGTGCGATAGGAAAGACGGTCTCTCACCGTTCGATCTCACGTCTGGCGCCTCTACTGCCCCTGCTGCCGATGCTGACAGCACTATTCGCTCACACTGGGCCACACGCGATGCTGCAACCCGCCTTGCTGTGCGTAGTCACCTGCCGTCCACTGAGCGCGCGCTCTTTAGTCAGTACAAGAGTGCTAAGACCTTGTACGACGCTGTAGTTGCACGCTACTCTTCCCCTGCCACTGCTGCCCTTAGCCGCCTCATGCTGCCGTACCTGTTCCCTGACCTTGCTGCCTTTCCCACTTTCGCTGACCTCATTACGGACCTTCGCACTAGTGACACCCACTACCGCGCTGCGCTTCCTGCTGAGTTCTGCGCCAAGAACCCCCCCCCCCCCATGTACATCACCCTCTACTACATAGTCACCCGGCTCCCTGACTACCTTCCCTCGGTCAGGAACCACTTCCTCTCTGTTTGCCCCATCACACTCACCGTTGACCTCCTCGAGGAGCGCCTCCTGGCAGCTAAGAAGATTATAGTCGCTTTAGGAGCCTCTCATGGTGACCCTCGTGCCCCCTTCTTAGAGGGGTGCTCCCCCTCCCCCCTTTTGCCCTCTGTTGCCTCTGCTGCTGCCGTCGACTTCGTTGGCACCGAGTCGGTCGGCGCTGCGTTTGCCCCTAGCGGGAGACGCCGCACCGGCAGTGGCAAGGGGGGAAAGGGAGCTGGAGGGGCTGGTGGAGGCGGTGGAGGTGGCGGTGGAGGCGGCGGAGGGAGTGGGGGTGGCGGTGGGAGTGGTGGCGGGGGTGGGGGCTTCGGTGGCGGCGGTGGAGGCGGAGGCGGCGGCGGCGGTGGCAGTGGGAGCGGAGGAGGAGGCGGTGGCGGAGGTGGCGGCGGCGGAGGTGGAGCTGGTCGGGGTAACTTCGCACAGCAGGGCGGCTTCGGTGGTGGTCAGTGCCAGCAGCAACAGCGCACTCGTGAAATCCCGCCCCTCCAGCAGCTTCGTGAGTGGTACGTTGCGCGTCAGTGGGGTGGGGGTGCTGGTCCTTGTGCCTACGTCCTGCGTACCGGCGACCGCACTGGTGAGCAATGCAATAACCCACACACCACCCAGCGCTGCTTCGGCCGCCTGACGGACGCTTGGCGTCTCCAGTTCCCTTACGCCACTGAGATCCCCCGCTGGGGTGAGCTGCTTAGGTCGGGGGTTGCTATCTTTGATCTGGATTATGATGCTATTCTTGCTGCCATGTATGTTGTGTCTAATAGTGATGAGGGTGACTGTTACCTGTGTGTTCCGCCTGGCCCGGGCATTGAGGCTGCTGCTCTAGGTGCTGGTGAGGTTGCTGCTCCAGGTGCTAGTGCGTCTGCTGCCCCAGGTACTGGTGAGTCTGCTCTCTCAGGTACCACGTCTACTCAGGCCTTACACACCTTCACCCTTGTCTCGGGTGCTTCCCGCTCCTCCTTTCGAGACCGCACCACGCTTACGCCGCTTAGACGGCCAGTTGCGGTCTCCCTGGCGGACCCCTCTGGGGGTCCTGTCCTTGCCCACTTCTCCACTGTCTTACCGTGTCCGGCGGCCCCCTCTGGCACCCTGTCCGGTCTCTACCTCCTCTCGTTCTCTACGAACTTGGTGAGTGGTGCTGATCTACAGGATGGGGGGGTTCACCAGTTCACTCCTGCGAGTCAGCGGGTGACCCACTGTACGTGTGCTCAGACGGGCCAACACTTGG